AAGTGGATTTTACTTATCAGCAAAAATAAAACCCAGTGAATAATTAATACATTTACAGTAGACCATGAGATCAGAAAAAAAAGGATCAAAGGAAACAGACCGACCTGTGACATTAGTTATGTGTCGTGTCTTCAATTACACAAGAATATGCCTTTCAATGCAACTTAAAAGCTGCTCCTCTTGTATGTAAATCCATAAATTGAGGTCATATTGTAACGGTAATTATTACAAAATCAAGAACAGTTATTAATATAATGCTCACTTCATCAATATCGCGGCCATTATTTTTTTAATGCGTCACTGACAGATCAGAATTCAATATTTCTGTTTTACCGGGTACGTCATGCAAGAAAGCCATGTGCATCAAAATACTTTGAAAGCAGACACTTTGAGTAATGCATTGATGAACAGTAACTACCTAATAATGCAAATTTGTGCAGACAATGCTCAAAACTGCCAGATATTTTTGAAAGAGAAAAAATTTGCTCATTTGGTGAAAAAAGCAAAAAAGTGTTTTGGTACAAGTTGATCATATTTTATATACAAGGCTCATGCATACAATGCTTCCACCTTAAAACATTTGTTCCTGCCCAAAATAACAGGCATGCGAAGACTGCTGTTCCGGTTTCGGTTCCATGGCAACCTATCCACTACACCTCATCTTCATTCAGCAACATGTTCGGGATCCCATTTGAAATAGGAAATTTCCTCCCACTTTCAGGACACACCAGACTTCCTTCCACTACTTCCACCATCATCATAACTCTGTGGGCTTCTTTTAAAAACTCGTCATTGTTCTCATAGTCTGTAACTAGTTCAGGTGGCAGGTTTCCAAGGTGACCGACACTCTGAGCTGCCTGAACCAAGACTTCATACTCCATCTTTGGGATCATTCTGGCGATGAACTCGGGGTTAAAATCCACTTCTTGAACTCGTACGTCCTTGGCTTCTATGTTCAATGGATACCCATTCGTCACGCCTTTGACGTGTGAGGTCAACATGTTGTGGGTGAGGAGTTTCATCCTACGGAAAACTGTGAGAAACATGGGAATTCGTCGAAAACGAACTGACGTCGCTAATTATCCCACACGTGGGTTGGAGCAAAGAACAGCGTTCAACCAAACATGGAAGCCGGCAAGTCAGGCACATCAGTAAGGTATCTTCTGATTGGTTGCTTTCGTTAAACATATATCACGACTATTTTCAATATTTTGGAATATTTTTATACAATAAATTAGAATCAATTAAGATATATTTAATTTGATTAGTGTAAAACGTTTGCAATAAATTAAAACGTCTGCACCGATGTAAACGAGCACATGATTGTTTGGTGTAAGTTTTTTTATCCAATCAGAACACGCCTTCTGGGTGAAGTTTTTACCCACGAGATCTTTTTCCGGTGACGTCATCGTATTTTCAAATGAACACTCTGAAGCCGAAGATTCTTCGACCTATTCGTATGCGCTACAACTGACATTTCCGTAGGTTTACATCGTTTTTTGAACATTTTGGCCAATGTCGATGCATTATATTTAATCGCGTACATTTCCCGATAACATTAGACGACTCAAAGCTCGTGTTTTAAGTACATAAAACAGCTTCCTGATGAACGGGCTTTCGTTCGGCGAGTTGTGTTGTCTTTTCTGCTGTCCGCCATGTCCTTCGCGTATAGCTGCCAAACTGGCCTTTCTGCCACCTGAACCGACGTATTCCTTCGTTGCCGACGAAGCTGGAAGTAGACATAGTTTACACCTGGCCGATAGGGCAGAATGGCAGTATTCACAACGGGAATTGGACGCTATAGAGGTATTCCAAACGCGGACAAAACGTGGGAACAGGATAGGCTGTATGTTCGTACGATGTTCAACAAATCCACGCTTTACTATTTTATTCAGCCACGGAAATGCAGTCGATATCGGGCAGATGAGTAGCTTTTACATAGGCTTAGGATCTCGTATAAATTGCAACATCTTTAGCTACGACTACTCAGGTTATGGCGTCAGTTCTGGTAAACCATCCGAGAGGAACCTCTACTCTGACATCGATGCTGCATGGCAGTCACTGCGCACTCGATACGGAATCAGTCCGGAGCATATCATCATCTACGGCCAGAGTATAGGAACAGTACCGACTGTTGACCTGGCATCCAGATTCGAATGTGCAGCAGTTATACTACATTCACCACTCATGTCTGGTATGAGAGTAGCCTTTCCTGACACCAAACGTACTTGGTGCTTTGATGCTTTCCCCAGGTATGTATGACCTTATTTGAAGGGGAAAAAAGAACAAGAGAATGACAAAGCAAGTAATATAACGATTCACAAACACTGCTTTCTCATTTCTTGAACATTATACTCTTATTTTTGTTTTATAGGGGAGGGGTATTGTAAAAACTATGCGATCAATCATCATAACAAAAATATCAAATATGAACCATATGGTTGTGATTACAATTAATATATAGTTTAGCTGTGACAGTATTACCTCTAATTGTTGGTTTTATAAATGTCATCGTCAATCGCACTTATTAATTTAATTATTATCACTAAGTATTGTTAATCGTATTGAGTGTGTATTTTTATTAAAATGAATGACAGTTCCTGCTATATTATTATAGTCCTGTTTATGATCACGAAGATTATTTCATCCAAGTTGGTTGATTCAACATATTGCTGCTGTCGTATAGGAAGTGTGAAAATAATTTAGCATATTAGTGTTTTGTCTCGAACTGTGGGTAGCCACACCTCTTCCAAAAATGATGAATCACTATTTCAAGGAAACGTATAAATTGCATGTTGCAATTAAAATGAAGAGAATCTTTCGTGGGGAAAAAAGACTATGACAATTGAAGGATTACAAGATCAATATTTCTGTCATTTAGGATGACAGTGTCAGAGATGGTTAATTATAATCTACTGAGTTGATTGACCAGAGATGACATTTCTTTTTTACTACTATGTGAATCATCATGCAGCTCCTTGGGGGTTTACAAGTACATGAATACCCACATATTTTGTAAATATTGGTTATTTGTTTATTAATCTATAAAAAAAAAAACTTAAATAATACACTAGATGGGGGTAGTTTAATTAATTTTGAAAATTGTCACTTGGTTCTTATTGCTAAAACATACATTACTCATAAATATACGTAATGATTTATGTGCTGAATTGTGCCTATATGTTGTCAAATTGATATGGAAAGTCAATTTTCTACTGGAAAATTAGATTGACATATCCCATAATTCGTTGCAATGAATGTAGTCAAGTCTCTGATTTATGTTCCTAATTGGATTTCCTATTTTTAAATATAAAAAAGCTGTCACGAATGTCAGTTGTTAATCCTAAACTCAGACACCCAGTATGAACATAAATAGAAGTAAAATGTAAGGAAAGAGATGATTTTTTTCTTCTAATGAAGGCATTACTATTCTAGTGGTTCAGCCCATGTTGTATTTTTTAAATTGAAAAGAATATATGACCTTGGTCCACCCCTTGATTTTGAATAAGTCATTCATATTTGTTGATTATATTATTTATGAAATGGTGGAAATTCTATATTAATCATTTTAAGGCGCATGGTTTTCAACCTACATGTACTTTATAGAGTGTAAAATAATAAATTATGTCTAAGTCTTGGTGATTTAGTTATTTATTGCTGATGTACATTTAAACGTTTTGCACTGATGTCCTTGCATTAATAATGTAGGGTAAAACTTGTCCAAGGTTCTTCATTGACAGTCTAGCTGAATATGTTCATTCATTATATGCATGACATCATTGTTCTCCAGA